TGACGGTCGGCATTGACAGTGTAACCATATCTTGTATTTGATATTTTATATTTGTATAATTGCTTAATTTCGGTACTATATATATGTAGTCTTTCTGTAAACAATTATAGCTTTAACCAAGACCTAAAGAAAACGAAAATTTATTTGATAATTGGTAGTTCATTAAAAAAAGTTGACATGTTAAGTGAAAAGCAAATCATAGTTCCTGTAATATTGAAAATATAATATTATCCGTATTATATACGATCGTTTTTATAGTGGGTTTGACAGTGAAAGTGAGAGTGAGAGTGAGAGGGAGAGGGAATTAGGGAGAGGGAGAGAGAGTGAGAGTGAGATTGAGAGAGAAAGATTATAAGGTAATATACACTTTACAAAAGAAAAGGTTGAGAATATATGTGAAAGAGAAATCGGACAAGAAAGAATGCGAGGTTAGTCTCTAGCAATTTATGTTTTGCTAATAGAGAGTATCATTGAACGTTTCAACATATATAACAATAAATCCAATCCTTATTCTCCGTTTGATTAGGAGTTCAAACAGAAATCGGCAATCACACAACACATTTTTCTTTTTTGTCTTGTGTATATTAATTGTCCCGTTTGAATAGCGGGATAGAGAATGCGTTTGCAAAGAGATAGTAGGAGCACAATCACTTCAAAACCCTTTCTTTGGTTCTTTCGTATTTAAAAAGGAAAAAAGGGAAAAAAATGGCTCATACAGGGATCGAACCTGTGACCTTCGCGTTATTAGCACGACGCTCTAACCAACTGAGCTAATGAGCCTTTTTGCTAGCTTTTGTAGAGATATTTAAATATTCCTAATGCAAACATTCTGATGTCCTAATTGAAATACTGGACTGTTTCATGGAGTATGGTAAAAATAAAAATATAGACATGATACATTATATGAACGAAAATATATAATTGTATTATTCTTCAAAACTCGATAGCGGATTAATGAAAGAAGAAGAGAGTTTTTTTATTAGTGTGTATCCAGGGCCGGTCCTGAATAAGAGCATATTTTGTTAATTTTTTTTTAAGTGGTGTATAAATATCATTTACAAAGTTTTAATAAGAGTATTTTTTAGATTCAAGTAGGGCGTTTGAATTCTTTGAATCGGCACTGTGTGTATCGGATTTAAATCTAAAAGGTCAAGACGAAGAGCTCATCGAAATCTCCTACCACTTTACCTAAACCACCTAACACAAGCTTCTTCCAACTAATGCATCAATACCATATTGCCGTATATACAGTAACCTTGTTTTCTAACCGTTTTTTAGACTTAAACTATTTAACATGTTGACGACGATTAAATAAAAATTAAGTTGTAGCAAAGATACGTTGTCACTATTTTAGATTTTTGGAGCTTATTTTGAATTAGTCGTATAATTCAAGATGACGCCAAAGAGTGGCTCATATTTTCCCTCCTACTTTTTGATCTTTCGTCATTTGGGAAGAAAAAAACGAGCAAGAGAAGAACACTTACCAATATTATTTCTAAGGAAAATATATAAATTATAGCCGAGGTTGAGAGAAATTCAAAATCTTAAATCTATTAAGCCCGAGTTAGATAACTAACGCAAACAAATTACTCATGTAATCTATTGGCGACCTACAAAATGTTGATTCTAGTTTTTCACAAAGTAAAAATCTGATAGTAAATGCTTTTTTACAATAATTTATATTAGTGTCGCCATATCCAGCGTTCACTCATGGAATTATGTATTTCTTAATTTCTTAGTTGAACGAAAAAAGTCATTTTGATGCCCACATAAATAAAAACAGTTGAACAAACTACAAAACAATGAGACTTCAAGATTTATTTCAAAAGAATCAGTTTTAATATAAGATATGGTAATCATCTGTACTATTATCCAAATAAACTTTCATCTAATAATCTTTGGGTCATAGGAAAACCCAACAACCATCTCACAAAATTAGTTGCATCTCACTTGACCAACTTCTCAAGACCATTGTAACACAAGAAACCTAAAACCCTACAATGCCATCTTCTGTTAAACTTATATATCTCTTTCAAGTCCCACCCATCTTCTCCTACAAATTATCATTTTTCCAAAAGTTGGATCAAAAGGGGTTTAAGGAGAAGAACAATGAGACTCTTCCTTGTGTTCTTGATGGTTCACACCATCTTTATCCCATGCTTTTCCTTTGATATACTAGGAAAGGAAATTCCTCTAACCCTAGATTATTACATGTCTACTTGCCCGACCGTATTTGAAGTCATCAAGAAAGAAATGGAATGCATAGTGAAGGAAGATCCTAGAAATGCAGCCATAATGATTCGTTTACACTTCCACGACTGCTTTGTCCAAGTAAGTTACTTACCCCAAATCTTGCTTGTAACACAAGAAATCATCCCATCTCTTTTTTTCCCAATATGGATAGTTACTTATTAAGGGTTCATTAAAACTGTATTGCAGGGATGCGATGCATCGGTGTTACTAGACGAAACAGAGTCATTGCAGGGAGAGAAGAAAGCTTCTCCGAACACAAACTCATTGAAAGGTTTCAAAATTGTAGACAGAATCAAGAACATAATAGAATCCGAATGTCCTGGAGTTGTTTCTTGCGCTGATCTTCTCACAATCTCTGCTAGAGATGCTACAATCCTGGTACATATACTCATCAATAACTGTATATTATATAGTATTTTATGAACAATGAAATCAATTAAACATTTTAATTTTTTGTTTGATCGATCAAAAGGTTGGTGGACCTTACTGGGACGTTCCTGTGGGAAGAAAAGACTCAAAGACTGCAAGCTACGAGCTTGCTACATCGAGCCTTCCAACTCCTGAAGAGGGTTTAATCAGCATCATCTCTAAATTCTACTCTCAAGGTCTCTCTGTTGAAGATATGGTTGCTCTTATCGGTATGATCAATCTTCTTTAAACCAAACTAAACCGGAAGTAATAGTATTACAAAACCGGAAAATTGATTAAACCGATTAATAAATAGAAATTTGACCTAATCTACGTAGGAGCTCACACGATCGGTATGGCGCAATGTCGGAATTTCCGATCAAGAATCTACGGAGATTTTCATGTGACGTCAGCGCTAAATCCGGTGTCGGAGACGTATCTTTCGAGCCTCCAAAAGATTTGTCCGGCGAGTAGCGGAGAAGGAGACAGCAACGTGACGGCGATGGACAATGTGACGCCGAATCTGTTCGACAACTCGATATACCACACGCTGCTGAGAGGGGAAGGGTTGCTTAACTCGGACCAGGAGATGTACACGAGTATGTTCGCGATACAGACGCGGCGGATCGTGAGCAAGTACGCGGAGGATCCGGTGGCTTTCTTCGAGCAATTCTCCAAGTCGATGGTGAAGATGGGGAACATTTTGAATTCTGAGAGCTTCGCCGATGGAGAAGTTAGAAGAAATTGCAGATTCGTGAATACATGAATACGTCAATAGCTTAAAACTATTTCCGTTGATTTATTTATTTTAAAACTATAAAAAAAAAAAAGCGAAATCGATCTTCTTCTTTTTTTCCTTAGCTTTTTACTTTTCTGTGTCGGGAAGATTGAATATGAATTTATGGTGACGATGCCACAAAATGAATAGTGTTTCACAATGCCATCTTTAAGGCTGTGACCAAAGTGATGTCGTATCTTAAGTCAGAAACAGAGTAGTACAAAAGAATCTTAAGACACTTCTAGTATGTTATCTTTGTGTTTCTTTATATTGTTCTTCAGAATCTACAGCATTGGAACCCTAAAGCAATAGGCTTTTGTTTCTTGGTAGACAAGTCATATAGTTTGGGCATCAAAGCGAGATCGTGCTCATGTTGTTACATACTAGAGTTTCTATGATATATGTCATACAAAAAAATGCAATATATATAAAATATAGGAGAAAACTGGAACTTATTTTATGCGGATTTGGAGACTAGCTAAAGACTCGAATACAATATATCATCAAGCCTTGGCTTTGGTTTTTAAACAATTTGAAGCTGGATACAACAAAGTGGACACTTTGGAGTTTCTTGAATCCACTCGTTGATGCAGTAAGTGTGGAAAAGATGAGAACAAGGAGAAGTAAAGGTCGCGTCCTCTCCAAGTATGAAATCTTCTTGACATATACAACAAGTGCCAAACAAATCCATATCAGGGCCAAGAACCTTGACACCCTTGTGATTACGATCATCCAGTCTTCTTTCGGGAACTGAGTCTCTCACACCTCTCATCCACCACTCAAAGTACTCATCTTCAAACTGAATCAAACCGACCTCAGCGATCGCATCTCCAATAGTCTTCATAACTAAATCATCTGACTTCCCTACAGGACTGCCTACTAGTTTATAAATCTTGCTTTTCATGGTTTCAAATAGTTCTATATCTTTGTCTTCTTCAAGCATAGCCTCCATATCCACTGGTGGTATCATTACTGTTTTCTCGACACCAACTATGAAAGGAACCCATTTGTTCCCCGACCAAGACTTCCTCTGCTTCATTATGTGATCCACGAGATTATTGACGAGGATCTCCTTGTCCTCTTCTGTCAACTTCTCCAAGGATGAGATACCATCGATCTCAAACGCTATAACATCCTTAATGACACTTGTCGGGAAACAAGGAAACCGGAAAGAAAAATCATACTGACTTTTAAGCAAGGAACGAGTCAGTTTCTTGCCGCCCCACTCATGCTCACTCGCGTAGATAACATCAACAACGACCCTAACATAGAACTGAGCGAATGTAACTGTCTCCTCGTACTCCAAACCAAACCAATCACTAGACGGCTTAACGTAGTACAGCTTCACGGGTAAACTTTTATTACCAGCCTGGTCATTGTCGTATCTCAGCCATGGACCATACACATGGGTTTGAAACTCGCGTGTCAAAGGTCTAACCCTTGTGACTTCTCCACACTTGCGGTGGCCAACCATACCACACTGTTCGCAGAAAATACCTAGATTCTTGTACTTGAACTGAACGAACGGACGCTTACGACCTCTACCGTTAATGTAAAACCCGGGAGAGAGTGGTTTTCTAAGATTTATCTTAGCCCTAACCAAAAAGCATCTTGTTGAAAGGTCATATTCCAAAGAAATCAATGGCTTATCACTAAGCTTATTCACAATCTTCACAGCATCTGCTTGGGTGTACTGAAAATAGGGAAGACCTATTACCTTGACCCAGAAGGAAGTAGCAGAAAAATCAATATCGGACATGGAGATGTTTTGTGGGCATTGTTTAAGGACTATTATGATACCATCAACGTTCCAAGGTCCATCCATTATAACATTCTTCTTGTCGCTCTTATGTTCGAATTCAAATAAGATTATATTGTCTTTCTCCAAAGGGAATACCTTCAAGCCGCCGGAAAGTTTCCATTGTTGCCGAAGTGTGCTTTCTGTTCGGTCAAAGGACGGTGGAACGAGACTTGTGAAGAACTTTCCAACCAAAGACAGTCTTGGATGTTTCACAAGACCTGACATGTATGCCTTAGTCTCCATCGTTTTAGGGTTTTCGTTAGGATGAAACACAATCGAATTTTTTTACTTTTTATTTTTGCAAGTAAAGCTGAACTATATAATGAAAGAGATATTGTAAGTGTTGTTTGTATTGAATCGTAAAGAGCAGAATTTATAATTAATGTATGAAAGTCATATTCCTAATGGGAGAACAGAAAGCTAAATCATATTCCTAACGGGAAAAGAGCTAAAACTAAATCTTAGTAAATCTATTTACACCGTGTTGAATTAGTTGAATTATATAATTAGAAAACTTGAAACTTTTAAATTTTTAGTCGGTAATCACTACAAATTGTTATTGAACCAACAACTACGAAATAAACAACAAAACCTATCAATAAAGTCATTACCGATATCTTTAGCGATCACGAAATGAACAAGGCCTATGCAAAAACTTTTGAAGAATTTAGGTGGAGGGGCCTTGAAGTGCTCGCCTCAGTCCTTGAAGATGTACACATTTTAGACACAAAAGTTTTTGGCTAATAAAAAAATAATAATAATAAATTAAGGGGATCAAGTGACAGGCAAAGCGAGTTCATGCTCGTGTTGTTACATATATCATGGAAATATGCAATACATATATAAATAGAAGAAACTGGAACTTAGGTATGTAAGTATGTTGGTTTGGAAAGTAGCTAAAGACTCGAGATATTCAAGCCTTGGCTTTGGTTTCAAACACTTGAAGCTGGATACAACAAAGTGGACACTTTGAAGATTCTTGAATCCACTTGTCAATGCAGCGAGTGTGGAAAACATGAGAACAAGGAGAAATAAAGGTTGCGAGATCTCCAAGAAAGAATTCTTCTTGACATATACAACATATGCCAAACCTATCCATATCAGGGCCAAGAACCCTAACAACCTTGTGATTACTACGATCCAATCTTCTTTCGGAAACTGAGTCTTTCGCACATCTCACCCACAACTCAATATAAGAATCCCCAAAATGAGTCAAACCGACCTTAGCAATCGCATCTCGAACAGTCTTCATAAGTAAATCATCTGACTTCCCTAATGAGCTGACTACTAATTCAATAATCTCTTCGTTAATGGTGCCACGTAGTTCTATGTCTTTGTCTTCTTCAAGCATAGCCTCCATATCCACTGGTGGTATCATTACTGTTTTCTCGACAGTAACAATGAAAGGAACCCATTTGTTCCCCGACCAAGACTTCCTCTGCTTCATTATGTGATCCACGAGACCATGGACGATGCTTGCCTTGTCCTCTGCTGTTAACTTCGCTAGAGGTGAGATACTATCGATCTCTAACGCTAAAACATCTTTAATGACACTTGTCGGGAAACAAGGAAACCGGAAATAATAACTATACTGACTTTTAAACAAGGAACGAGTCAGTTTCTTGCTGCCCCACTCATGCTCACTCGCGTAGATAACATCAACAACGACCCTAACATAGAACTGAGCGTGTGTAACTGTCTCCTCGTACTCCAAACCGACGTAATGACACGGCTGAGAGTAGTACAACTTCACGGGTAGGCTGTTATTACCAGCCTGTTCATTGTCGTATCTCAGCCACGGACCATACACATTCGTTTTAAACTCGCGTGTCAAAGGTCTAATCTTTGCGACTTCTCCACACTTCCGGTGGCTAATCATACCGCAGTTTTCGCAGAAATCACCTAGATTCTTGTACTTGAACTGAACGAACGGACGCTTACGGCTTTTACCGTTAATGTAAAACCCGGGAGGGAGTGGTTTTTTCAGATTTATCTCAGCGTTAGCCCAATAGTATTTTATTGAACGCTCATATTCAAAATCAATCAATGGCTCATCACTAAGCTTTTTCCCAATCTTCTCACCATCTTCTTCTGTGTATTGAAAATAGGGCAGACCTATTACCTTGACCCAGAAGCAAGCAACAGAGAAATCAATCTCGGCTATGGATATGTTTTGTGGGCATTTTTTGAGGACTAATATGATACCATCAACGTTCCAAGGTCCTTCGCTTATAACATTCTTCTTGTCGCTCTTTTCTATATCGTCTTTCTCCAAAGGGAATACCTTCAAGCTACCGGAAAGTTTCCATTGCTGCCGCAGTGTGCTTTCTGTTCGGTCAAAGGACGGTGGAACGAGACTTGTGAAGAACTTTCCAACCAAAGACAGTTTTGGATGTGCCACAAGACCTTGCATGCATGCCTCAATCTCCATCGTTTTAGGGTTTTCGTTAGGATGAAACACAATCGATTTCGTTCTTTTATTTTAATAGGTGTAACTAAACAATTAAAAAAAAAAAAAAAGGAAAGTGTCTTCTCGTGCTCCAAAGTCCAAAGTCCAAACCCATGTCATGAGACTCATACACATGTGTTCTCAACTTCACGGGCCTGTTCATACTACTCCAACTTCACGGGCCTGTTCATTGTCATGGCCCATACACATGTGTTCTAAACTCGAGGGTCAAATGTCTATGCTCTGCGACTTCTCCACACGTAAGGTGGCTAATCACACCGCAGTGTACACACAAATCCCCAAGATTCTTGTACTTGAACTGAACAAACGATCTCTACCATTCACACAAGTGTATCACAGTGCGTGGCCCTGATATGGATTTGTTTGATACATGTTGCATTTGTCAAGAATATGTGTTTTCGGAATTTACTGGTGAAAAAGTAGCTCATTCTTTTTTTCCCGTCTCACCAAATTCTCAACACAATCAGGAATTTTGTTAAACAAGCGTTAATCTCTAACGTGTACAATTTTGTTAAACAACATCAGCAATACTATTACCCGATTTAACAGATGTAACTAATTACATTGGTTATACACCTTGTATATTTTCCAATAACATAATCATATACACGTTAGAGATTAACGCTTGTTTTGATGAGAATTTGGTGAGATGAGCGAAAAAAAATTGAGCTACTTTTTCACCAATCAATAGTTTCCGAAAATATATTCTTGACATATACAAAATGTATCAAACAAACCCTAAAGTCAATAGTTTCCTTGTTCCACAAACCTGTATCATTCTAAAATCGGTTTATACTTGAATGTGGCCGTCCAATACTCAGAGACGGCTCTGGTAAGGTTGTTGTGTTCACTGTTCAGTAAGATCCCACTCCCAAACAAAAAGGGTGATCTTAGTTATGATAATTGGGTCGATCTCATCTCTTACAGCGATTTAACTCCTAAGATTCCGAACTGAGTGTCTAACGAAGCAAAAGAATTTTGGAGCAAATGCTTTGGGAAAGACGTTTCAGAAGAGGTGGTCTAGTAACTTTAAAATCATTTGAAATCATCTAAAATTTCTCACTTAAAATATTTCCAATAATAATATTGGATTTTAATGTACTTTAAAATCACAAGTTCAATAACAGAGGAATTGTCATTTTATATCAAAAATCATCCAAAATAACCTAAAATCCCAAGTTCAATACATCCCTTTCAATGTTTTTGTACAATTTATGCATATTGTATGATGTTTTGTTTTACATTTTTGTGTTTTGTCATAGCATACATATTATATTTTCCGAAACATAGCAATAGAGTTAAAATGTCATTTATAAGTTTGGGTGAATCATCTCAAACTTTAAATTTCACAAAATGAAAGGTATGTATAATATGTATTGAAAGAGGCACAAAGAGTTTCAGAGACGAGTAATTAGGATAAACTTTTTGACAACGATGGAGCTGAGTCCCTGTATTTCGCCCTTGTAGACAACATCTCCGGATTCTTCCTTGTTCTCTGGTACGATATCTGAGAAATTATTTGTCGCAGAAAGAGAACTCTATGAAATGAGAGATGATTCTCCGACATTAGAGAGAGATCCTCTATTTTAGTTAGAGAGAGAGCGTGCGCGTGAAAAATACTGTTTCGGTTGGGGAGAGAGAGAGCAAACCGAATGAAAAATGCAACGAAGTTTAAAACAGATCATCGCTAATTTTATTTTAAGCTCAAAATTACGCATCTTGATAGTTTGAGATTTTTGCATGGTGGTGACGACAAGTGGAGTTACAAAACTTTAACCGATGTGTATGATTTTTTATTTTATCCTTTTTACTTTGTCAATATAAAATGTAATGATTTTTTTTAATAGTAACTTTAAATTATATTTTGTTAATGGGAGAATTTTTTTGGTAGTGTTTTATACTTCTTTTTCTTCTCCAATTTCTACTCTTACATTGGCACCAGGTCAACCATGGCCATATATTCAGCTCAAAATTGTTAATGATACTTTTGGAGGTTAACTTTTGTAGTAGATTTGTTCGTTACATTATCAAACACTGCATTTAAGCTCTCCAGTTTTTTTTGCAGTATTCATATAATATATGTTAAACAAAAATTAAAATATGGTGCATACTATAATATATATATTGCTTGGAATAAAAAAAATTGGGTAATGTGGAGTTAAATGACTTTTGTTTTTGTTAAAATGTGGAGTTGGTATTTATTATTAGAGAATACATAAAGCTCAAGATTACAAGCCCATTAGCCCATGTGTTTAGGGTTCCTTAGAAGTGTATTAGTATAAATATTGTTGTTATGAACCATTGTTGGTTACCTTTGAGAGTTGCCGTAAAGAGCAACTCTTCCTTCTTTATATTCCATGATATCAATCCAAATCATTTGAGTTCTTGGTGACAATATCAAATCTCTTTTCTTTCTCTCTTTAGATTTCTGTACATAAATAAAGCTTATCAAGCTATCTCTTTTATCAATCTTATCTTCATCTTAATAAGCTCATTTGAGCATAAATCTAAAACTCTATCATTTATGTGGAGTTAAATGGCTATTTTTCAAAAAAAAAAAAAAAAACTTTTTTTCTTTCTCTTGTCCTCTTTTGCTGACTACAAAGTAGAAAAATTAAAGATTCACATCCTACTTTCATTCAAAGGAAAAAAAAAAAAAAAAAAAAAGAAAGAAGAAGATTCACATCCTACATTGACAAATTATAATTTAAAAAAAAAAAACGAAATGTCACAAAGCATTGATTATCGCCTGTTTCTTGGAACACCGTAACGCAAACATATCAACATCCCGAGATCTCTTCCCGACGCACACGGCTACGACGTCGTTCGGTTTCCCGCTCGTCACATTGAATATGTCAACTCCAAAAAGCCGAACCACAGCCTGAACCGGGTTCTTAACCGGACCTGACCGGATTTTCCAATCGATATAAAGCTGCCGGTCTAGTCCGGTCGATCTCTCAAATGTAACAACGTCACCGGCTCGGAGATTCTTCTCCTTAACGAACCGGCTCCATCCCTTGGTCAACACGTAACTCTGACTACTGTTCCAGTACGAGTAACGGAACCGCCACACTTTACCGGCCACGTCCTCGAAGTTTATGAGAACGCCTTTAGTCACCGACGGTGACGGTAACGGAAAGTGTTTCTCCGCGTGGTGTTTAGGTATCACGAGACGGTTTAGCTTCCCGACGTCGCTAGGCGTCACAATCTTCTCGAACAGCACTTCACGCGTCCTTAAAACGTCGTCGTTTTCAGTCGTGTTCTTTCCGTTGGTGTCGGCGGAGAGAAACCGCCGCTTGTTGCTCTGCTCAAGCTCGTCGGCGTAAGTGTGTTTCCTCAACATGTCTACGATCTCGGCCTTGGAGTGAGCTTCAAGAAAAGCCACCTCCCCGTTGATATTTTCCTCCGCCGCCGCGAGGAGGGTTTTGAAGTTGACGACGGCGTCGCGGCCTCGGAATTTACGGGCGGCGATGTCGTAGGAACGAGCGGCCTCTTCTTCCTCGTTGAAAGTTCCGAGCCAAACTCGCTGGTGCTTCTCGTATATCTGAGCTCCCCATCTTCCGTTTGGCTGAGGAACCACGCCTTTGTATTTCGACGACGGAAGCTTCCGTGACTCTGTCTCTACGCCGTTCTCTGGATCCAACACGACGCTGCTTCCGCCGCTTCCCATACGGTAGAGGCGTAACGCCGGCGCCGGAGGAGGAGAGAGTTTTGTGGCGGTGGCGAAAGATTCTGAAGTTGAAGAAGTGTCGTCTATGCAGCTACTGGAAACCATTTTCTTTGTTTTAGTTTCTTGAAGATTCTGAAAGAAAAGGAGAAACACAAATTAGGTGAGAGGTATTTGGGTGACGTAGTTGGCTTTTTTTTTGTTCTGGAAATGTCATCTATATATATACACTTACAAGGCCATGATGAGGAATTGACGAGGCAAGAGCATGTACATGTTATTATATTTTTATTTAATTAGTTATATTGATTTTTTGAAGTTAAAATTTTTGATTCATTTTTGGAAGAAATGGAATTTAACATGAAGAAAAATGGGAAAGGTGGGGTCAACGCTTAGAAGAATGGCAAACCAACTTTGAAGGAAGTTTCTTGTGAAGGGCAGACCAAAACCGTAGTACTACGGCTTGTTTCTATATTTTGTACGTTTGTTTTGTTGTGTACACATTCTTGGGAACATGTTTCATCAGTGACTTAAAAATACATTTTCTTTTACAACACATTACCATCGCCATGTACATACATATCTTCATTAAGTAACATTCTCATCATGTTAGTTAGTTAGTTAGACATGTATAACGTATTCGATGACTCGTATAACGTATATTACTTTGTTTGAAATCCATCTAGAAACAGAAAATCACTCTATTAATTATGAGATTCTAGATGCGTATAGAGGATATAAAAGTCTGGTCAACTATCGATATCTTACCAAACAATCCAAAAATGTTGAATTCATGTACTTTGTTACATTGACATACAAAGAACTATAGAAGAGTCAGAGATTGACAAAAATAAGTTAGCAAAAAAAGTCAGAATAGAAATAAAAATAATTTTGTTAGTCACAGATTTGACGAAAAATAATAGAGACAATACAAACAATTGAATAGCCAATGGGGTAACTTTGATGGTAAGTGGGACCTGCCAAGAGGGCCAAGTGGGATGGGGGCTCACATGACATCTGGATCTTTCCTATCTTTATTCCATTTTTTGCTATTTTTTGTTCATCCCCCATAACCCATTTGAAGCAATTGTTGTATCCATGTTTTATTCACAATCTTTATATAATTATTATCCCATTGTTTAAAAGGTTTTGTAAATTGATTTTTAAAAAAACAAAAGGGACTTTTGGATTGGCAAGGTCCCAAGGATTATGATCTTATCTGATACTGTTGTCTCATACAAACAATAATATCCTAACATATTAATCTGCTTTCAATTTCCTTTGTTAATTTCCAGCTCTTTTTTTATCTACACCATTGGAAAATTTATGTATTAATTACACAGTAAGCAAACACTCGTAATCTTATCTCTCTTTTATTTTCAACCACTCACAGTTTTCTTCGTACATCTAAATATCTGCAAGTATGACTGCGTGATGTTCCCTCTTGGGAGGGAGTGACTTTGATTAGTCGCGCTTATCCAACCAAATATATTTGAAACCCTCTAACGTTGCTATGTTTTCATTTTCTCCCCTTTTTGAATAGTTTTTACTCTATATATTTATTAGTTAAGCAGTCATAACCAAGAAAATTGTTATCATCAATCAAAAATATAAGTTTATGACATCATCTAAATATTTGCGTGGAATTCCAATGTGGTAATTTGATATATATTATTTGGAGTATAAGGAAAAGTCCATGCACAACTGCACGTAGGAGGAAAACATCGCT